GTGGCCGCGGCCACGTAGGCACGACCTGAAGAGGTCGCTGGGCAAAGAAAACGCAAGAAAACAAAGCGAGTTCGGCCCGAAACACATGGACGCTCACCAACTCCCACTTTCCGGCAATATCATGCGATATCTATTATGACCGCCGTTACCCAAACTGACGGATTTCATTGGATTTCACCCCTCCCGCGACTCGGGCCTCCAAATTGTCAAACACATCCTTCCAAAACATTAGTAACAAGAAGCTACTAGGGGCTCCTGGCATCGCTACTAGCAACAAGGACGCGACGAGGGGCTCCTCGTCGACGCATCTCGACGCCCGCAGTTCGATTCCTGACGACGAACAAAACGATCCTGGGCTCGGCAGTCCGCCACAGCGCCCCGGGGAGTCCGAACGTGCCGACATTGGAGGCAAGGTCTCCCAAGTTCCAACCTGCAGCTGGGCATGAAATGGAGTCAAACGAGGAGTGAAGAACCAGATTTGGCTGGTGGGTTCTCAGGGTAAAACGTTTTCTGCTCATGCTCCATCTTCATCCAGGCTTGATCGCCCAGCGTTGGACCACAACTCTCATCAACCTGTGACCCGATCGCCTTTGGGTCGAAGCGCTCGACCGAATTCAACATCTGCGCCTGGGGTCCGGCGTTGGGGTCTGCGATATGCTGGCAATCGCAGTTGAGAAATGATGGTTTTAGCGGTATGACATGGCATTATTACCAACTCCTTCCTGTTAGATTGCCGATTACTGTTTGGAAAAAACCTTTTGGACTATTTCAAGCTTTCCGTCTATCTTAACCACCGCTTTATGCAATTTAAGATCGAAAGGTAGCCGTATCTTGTTCCCATGCCCCACAGGCATCAATGGGCACCAGCTGCTAGCGCCTCCTGGAAGTTTGAGTCTTCTAGGAAACTTCTCCAAACCAAGAGGCCTCACCTATGGGTCCACTGTCGATCAACTGGAATCCTTCTGGAATCCTTGAGCTTTCTTCAAAATCTTTTCTCACCTCTTGCGATATTTCTTTCAAAAGCATTCGATTTAGAGACCTTTCTGCCATGCGAAAGGCTCGCCCTCTTCAGGCATGAGAGCCGGACGCCAAAGGCGCCACCACAAACATAGAGCCTCACAGGTTGAAGGCTTGTGCACCCAAGGCAGAAAAGCATCCAAACACTCCATCTCTGTAGCCACATATTCAGTACGCAGTGGCAAAGTTTGCATCTCTGATCCAGCCTACCGACTGCCCTGCATGTTGAAGTTCCACCGTGGAACTGCCCAACTCAAACCATTCTCATTGCCAAACCACTTGGCCACAGCCCGACACGCCTCCCTCCGCAAGCAGCCGCGGATGCACCTTGTGGGAACAAGGCGAGTGGGATTCTGAACACCCGTGACACGATGGACACATGAAACAATTTTTTATCCAACTTATCAATGTTCTGTATTTTTGGGGGTAGGCCGCAACTGAGGTAGGTTAGCTAGTAGGTAGGTAGCTTGTACCTACAAGTAAACTACTAGCATGGAGGCAGGATAGCTCACGCTTCTTCAAGGAAGCTCGGGGGAAGCTTCCTTCAAGAAGCGCCCGCACTAATGATTTGGTTCCTAGATATTTAGGGAAACTTAACACCCGTGCGGGTAGTTAGCCTCCAGAGTGGCTCAACTTACTTTCTGGCAAACTCCAGCAGAATTGATGCAGGCATTTTGATGGGCATAATCTCCAGTGTGGATCAGTGTGGTAATGTTCATACATTTTGTTCCACATGTTACCTTCGGATGGCCACTCCTACTTTTGAGCCTTACACAAGTCACCAAAGCAACCCTCGTCATTTCCGTCACGCCTGCACGCTGGCCCGACAAAGGAGATAGCCTGACACGAGATTGGGCTGAGAAAATGACCATTGGATTTGGTCTAGACCCTAAGGGCATCGCTAAAAGAAACAAGGGCATTGCTACAAGGCTGCCTTCATGCCACACCACTGCCTATCATGTCCTGATGTGAGATGTCCGCATCTGTGTGATGTCTGTCGACTCATTGCGTTTGAGAATTCTGCAGCAAATTTTCTGCGATCCGATTGGGGGGGTGCGAACCGACTCGGATGTTGTTTCCAGTGCAGGGCATCATACAGTAAGTGGGTCGACCTGAAGTTCCAATGGGTTGAACACCACGCCCGATCAAGCCCAAGATGCGGGAGCCAAACATGCGGGAAGTTGTTCAATCTCTCCACACCTCAAACTGCGATGGGGGGGGAGGCAAGTAGTAACAAGAAGCTAGTAGAAACAAGTGCATCGCTACTAGTAACAAGTGCCTTACTAGTAGTAACAAGAAGCTAGTAGAAACAAGTGCATCGCTACTAGTAACAAGTGCCTTACTAGTAGTAACAAGAAGCTAGTAGAAACAAGGCAGTCCAGGAATTTCAGACCGAGTTTCTTGGGGAGTAGCAATTATGCACGTAGAAGTCCACCGTAGCAATCATGCCTTTCCTTCGTCATGTGAGTCACAACAGTTGTGAGTCACTAGCACGCACCTCCAATAAAACAAAACATGGATGAGGTGCTGGTGACAATGGAGTCTTGCTATGAGCCATGAAGCGTTAGCAAGTCTTCTCAGTTCGCTCCAGTTTCGTCACACTTGATATTAGTCCTCGTAGTAGGCCAAATGAAAGTAATAAGATCGGTTCACCATCTAAAATACATTAAAATACAATCATATACATTGGACCGGACCTATCCTATTACCTGTAACAATGGATGATGATGGTTAGTAAAGGCCTTGTTCAACAATGATTATAATTGTTTACTGACTGTTACAGGTAATAGGACAAACCGAACATATACAATCTCTATATATATATATATACAACGCTTTTTGTATGTAAACAAAATCATCTATCTGGGATGCCTGTACAAAACCATTCTTTGGGGTAGCACGCCACACGAAGCTCAGCTTCCCACTGCTTAAAGGCTCCCGTTGCTCATCCCTTCCGCCACAAACGTAAAGAAGTCCTGTGCCGAACCGAGTCTCAAGGACCATTTTTTTAAGGCCGCTCTGCCCCCCCTGCCTAGAAGCGATGGCCTTCAACCTAATAGTGATTTGGCCTCCAAACTAAGAGCTAAACAGTATGATAGTAAAGAAACGCTCGACCGGACGTTTGATCATCAGGAAACGGCTCGCTGGAAGATAGCCCCAACACCCTGAACCCCGACAAAACAAATGTCCTGCTTTGTGGAATCTTAAAGGAGGAAGCATGTTCTCCACTGTTAGTAACAAGTGCATCGCTACTAGTAGCAAGTGCCTTACTCATCCTCCTTCAACTTGGTCAGGCGGTCCACCAGGACCATCCAAGGAGTTGCCCATGGATCACAAGGGCTGGTCTAGGTATCTTGTTCTCCCTTTACATACTCCACTTGGCACATGAATTGGCTCTGTCCGCTCCTTGCAAGGCAACGGCTGCAGGCCACCCTCTTCGCTCAGCCATGGCCGGCATGACCTCCGGTGCTGAATCTGCGGACTCCTCTAAATCCGTGGTGTACGACACCCGAGAGCGGCTCCCGATGTCTTTAAAGCTGAATCCAACATTTCCAATCCGGTTGCTTCGCAACCGGGTCAAAGGTTTTGATCACGAACGAATTCCTCGAACAGAAACACTCTTGTTGAGTGCTGTACCCGTCGCATGGAGGACACTATAGTAAAAGAGTTGTTATACGGTAACTACAACACTCACACTCTCATTCTAAATTCGAACAACACTGTAACTGAAACCGTATGAAACAGTGATAAACATGATGAACAAGGGCAACAAGTCACTCCTTTGCAAAGGCTTGATTACAGCTATGCCAAAACTCATTTCACTTAGTATTGAATCACTGGCTCTTGGGCCAATTCCATTCGATACCAGTGCCTGTTCCTCAGGGCCTGGCCCTGGAGCCGGTGGTCTGTTGTTTCGCTCAAGGATCTGTTTCAAACAACAACACCAGCGCCTGCCAATTGCCATTCGCCGCAGCTGCCTAGGCTTCGCTTCTGCTGGGACACTTGACATAAATCACCCTTGTTGGTCTCGGGCCATTCCACAAACCTCCCAAAAGAATCCACTCCATCTTGTGGCCCCAAATCTTCTTTAAACAGGAAAAACAAGATCTGCTCAAACCGATTTGCAGCAACTCTCTGACTTCTCTCCTCGCCGGGCCTGCCGCTCCCGCGGCGTGCCAAAGGCCGGCCCAAAGGGTGGCGACATCGTCCCAAGATACGGCGGGCTGGGTGGCGCAAGGCCTCAATCTTTCGTGATGTCGTGATGCTGATGGAGTCTGGGTGCATTCATGGTTGGTAGTGCATTCACCTTTGGAAGCAATTCATTCATGAACCAAAATTGAAGCAACATCCAAGTTCTTGGCTCGAAGGTGATCTTTTTGATGTATGTATGTATAGATATAATAATATATATATGTATATATGTTTTTGCTTTTTAGGTTTAGTCAGTCAAATAACTTTTCTCTGATTTGCAAGCTGATGGGAAAGTCCAGATCTGATTTCTCGGCCAACCCCAAAACCACCGTTTCAGTCTGAGAGAGGGTGTCCACCCATGTCCACCCTCCTTTCCTCACTCTCCGGACCCTCCTGTTTGAAAACCACCTGCCTCCCGCACTCGTTCCCACCGCCACGCGGGGCACCCCGGCCAGGCGGGGTGAAGGATTCCACCGAATTCAACGGCTGCCTGCGCTCACCGGTGTGCCGCTGAGATCGCTTCATTCAAATGCGGCAATCCCTAGCCCTAGCCCGCGAGGTCAGTGCGGATGATCCCTTATAGGATCTCAACCTCAAGATATCCCAAGGTTTTTGAGGCTTTCAACAGTTTGAACTCCTTATGTGTTCAGCGGTGCATAGTTGCTGCATCCTGTCAGCCTCCGTGTTGTGGCCACAAACTCCCAACCATACCACTGTCTGAGGTCTCAGACTGCGTCCCCGCACGACCTATCAAAACCTCTGCTGCAAGCCATGCATGGCGCTTCGCACCCTTTTTCAGATCACCATGACGCGCTCCGGGCCCTGCTTGGCGCAGGGCGCGAAGGCGGCGAACTGTTTGATCTGCGGCTCGGCGGTAGCGTGCTCGATCCGGAGCTCCAAGAAGGACGGCTGAGTGACCTACAGGGCACAAGGGGCAGGGCCAGTCGCCAAGTCCATCGGATGAAGATGGTGAAGTAAAGGAACGTGAAACTATGGGGAACACCAAAAACAAAACCTAAACAATCCCAACACCGGCAGAGACTAAGACCCACGAGGCCTGGATGATGAAGGGCAACATATGAATGCGTTTTCGGCCAATGGCGGAAGCCCTCACAGTGATCCAATGGTGTCCAGCCCCTGTGAAGCTCACAGTGTAGTTTCTCACCCGCTGGCCAGTGACGATGTCCTCCTGAAGAGAAGGCAAGTAAGCCATGGGCCGTGGGAAGTTTCTGAAGATCATGACAAAATTGTACTATCATTCTTTTTAAACACTCTCAAGGACTCGTTTTAACGGCCTGCAACCTGGTAGCGATGGCCTCCAACCTAGTAGCGATGACACACCAACTGCGAAACTCTGAATGGATTGGCTTATCTATCAAATGGATTTGTTAGCACCCAAAGCAATTGACCGTGTACAAACAGATTCATCCTGCAGCTGAACTCGATCAAAGTGCTGCCCTGCATTCAATCGCAGTGTGAAGTTCGTCCCATAGCCAGCAGTCATCACCTGGATTTTACAATTCTTGGTCAGTGCAGTTACCCAAAACAGTGACAGAACAATTGCTAACTTGATGTCCACGGAACTTGTTTTCCAATATAATTCCCTTGGTGGGAATAGTCATGAACATGGTTCTCAAAAGCGTTTCTTTGGACTGCCCAGTCACCAAGGGCGATCCGTAGCATTCTCGGACCTCGAAACCAAAAAAACGTCCATTTTTGTTGGGAAGGCGGGCGCCTCGTCGCGGTCCAGTACCACGCAAGAAAATCTAGGTCTCAGAGAGCCAGTCGAACACAAACAATATGATGATTGATGTATTTAGTCGAACAAAAGCTGAAAACCCAAAGAAACGCAGTTCTAGCCACCGTGTTGTTTTTTCCGTGTCCTTTACCTGGCGGGTTTTGGAATTGGGTGTGCATGCCAACTAGGATCTTTTTCCATCTGAGTCTGTTTCCACACATGGCCCACGTCTGAGAAATCATCAAATACCGCTGAACAACGAATGTGGAACAACAGCAAAGAACACAAAATAGGGGCCGTGGTCCTGAAAATGTGGGTCAACAATTTTTGTGATATGACATTCCAAATAACTCTTGACAGCAAACTCCTTTGAAAACACTTTTATTGCTCAGGTGAACTCAAATTGACCCGAGTGCTCCAAAACAAGCCGCTCACACCCCTGTACATGTGTAGATCTCCCACTTCCCCCTTCCCCACTCCGAGCCGCCCAATTGCCAAGCTGGTGATAGACCTCCACATGGCTCTGGGGGATTCGCCCTGTGCGATCCACCGCCACGTCCAGCTCCATGGTCATGCCGCGCCCCACGATGTCGTGGTAGATGGAGATCATTTCCTTTCTCAAAACGACCAAAACAGACGAAAAACAAGCGAAAACCACAGAAGAGCGCCCATGGTTGATGTCCCGAGGAAAGGAACTCGACTGGCTCAAACATCCTCGAAACTTTTGTTGGCCAAAGCCGACCCAGGAAGACTGAGTCAAGAGTTCTGAAGGGGATGCACACGAAAAAAGGTTGTTGAATTGGTTGGTCAGACCTGGATTCTGGTATTTCTGTGAAAATAAGAGCTTGAACAACACCAACTTGGGGCTGGCGTGAGGGGTTGTGTGCGCTTTGAATCGGTCTGGCGAACGTTTAACTTTTAACATGTTTTGAGCATCTTTTAAATCTGTTCTTTTTCGTTAATGAGGAAATGGAGTGAATTTGGGACTATGGACGGAGGGTCTCTTGCAAGAGCTTTGATACTTTCATTCCCATTGTCACTCTACCCAGAAAAGTGTATCATTCAACGTGGTGGCAAGCGAAAAAAGAAGTCAGAACATCTGCTTGGCAAATTTATCGCATGCTGGATTACAAAGCTGTGCAGGGGATTACTTTGCAATGCATGATCTTCTGACGCGTGTTCAATGAGTCTCTCTCTCTCTCTCTCTTCTTAGACAAGGACATATGAACTTGGTTTAACAGGAACAGTCCCCTTTCAAGTGTCATTGCAGGTTGGGGTGACTGCTGGGTCCACAACAGGAATTCTTCAATCCAAGACGCTGAGAGATTTCGAACCTGCAGGGACAGCAAAACCGCAGATCAAAAACCAAAAAAACGTCCAAAGGATGGAAACAACATATATAACAAACTAACGTTACAGTAGCACACTTATTGGGCAAACCCCCAAATGGAAAGCAGCTGTAGCCCTTCAGAGCCGGTTGAGGGGATGTCTGACACCTCTGACACCCATCCGAGCCTGTAACCGTGGCTCCCAGAACCAAACATGCTGTCGGAAGAGCTGTGGATCACAGAATTTCGGCACCCAAAGACTCGAGTTCAAATCGCCATGAGTGCCAGTGCCTTGGGGACGGCGCTGGGAGTGGATGTTGGAAGGAACCGAAAGGAAGTGCTCGGTGTTTCATTGAAACTTCACTGCTCCAAATTCTGAGGCTAATGAGTTTGCATCCGAATGATTAATTAGCTCAATGGAACAGCTACTACATTGTAGCTTTCCTCAACAACCCCATGTCCTGGACCGGTGTGCTCCGATCTGACTTGCACTCACATGCGACCAAAGAAACCAATGCTCCAAACATCCTGCGGCCCCACATCTTGCGATGGGTGTCCAGATTCAGTTCCACACCAGTCCACAGGGTTTGACAGTGTGCCGGCAGCCTGGATGAGCGTTGGGGCGGGTAGGGCCCGCAAAGGACTTCTGATCAAACAAGGTGCGTACGCAGCTATCGGTTTGAGGTGTCAGCGAGTTGTTTTGTCTGTGTCTTAACAGTCCCAACATTGAACATGCACATAGGAGGTTCATTTCAAAAGGGTTGTGAAGGCTATCAATGGAATTGGGCCATCCACTTTTGACTATTTTGAGGGTCTAAAGACTTGGGGGGGCCAAACAATGAATGCATGCATCAAACTTCAGCGCTCAAAGGAACCCCGAGTCCCGAGTTGCTCTTGAACCTCTACCCCAACTTCCCCCACACTGTCATCTTCTGGCCTGAGGTTGTAGCTCATCCATCAAATCCCCCATGCCATCTAGGGCACTGTCCACCTGGGACTTTACGATCGTCGGAGAGACTTGCGAGCTGACTCTCGCAGTTGACCCCGTCCGCATTTTTGGTTATGTTATGTAAGTGTTATGATGTGTTCTGCATACATGGTGATCCGAAAGTTTTGGAGGACATAAAAAGTATCCTCATCCATCCATCCCTAACGGGGGGGTCAATGGGGGACCTTCAATTTCTTTTCACTACAGTAATCACATTAGTGACTCACCGCCTGGTCAGCCTGTGAGACACTGGTGCGTGCAGTTGTTCATGGATCTTTGTGGCCAAGAAGGATTGCATCCGGAAGCTTCGGCACAAACACCCTTGCGCGCTGTTTAGTCTTTCTGATCTTTCTGGCTTCAAGGTATGTCCAGCTAATATGCAACAGGCAAGAGTAGGTGGTTTGGCATGCTCTATTTGCAACCGGTTTTCATTCTAAAGATTCCCAAGCTTGGCCCCCCCAAGCTACCGGAGATGCTTCTTGAACCGCACTCATGGTAGATTTCCTCACTTGAGACTCCACAAGCAGCATGATTCCATTTAATTTGATTCTTGTTTCCACTAGCTTCTTGTTACTACTAGTAAGGCACTTGTTACTAGTAGCGATGCACTTGTTCCTAGTAGCTTATGATCATCCATGATTTTACCCCAATTGCCCCAGGAAGTTGTTCGCTGCATGAAGTGAGAGATCTAAGTGGTGAGACTTGTGACCGCAAACAGTTTCGGCTTGGCAATATCATGAACATTGGTTTAAAGACATGGTGGAAGGCCTGGAAGTGTGCAGGGCACAGTGGTTGGCGTCGGGTCTTTTCACCGCCGTGCCAAATTGATGTCAGCTTGTTAGATCGTATCTGATCTGGTTTTAGATGGGCACCGCCTTCCTTGCAGTGCGCCAAATGCCGGAGCCGTGCCAAAGCCTGTCCCCACTGCTCATTGTCCTTCCTTTGGCATCATTCTGACAAAATGGATGGTGCAACACTTTAATCTCACAAGCCTCTCCTGATGGCTGTGGTTTGGAGCCAAACTTCCCGTTGAAATCACAGTAATGGTGTGGACATACCGTTTTTTTTATGGCCCAGATTTCACGGATCCTGACGGATCCTGTCAAATGAAGACTTCTACCCGCATCCTCCGATCAATTCCGGTCTTGACTCCGAGAATCCCAAATGCGCGCCAGCGAGCCATACTTGGTCCAGAGCTCAATGACTTGCTGTCGGGCAACATGCCTGTACTCCTGAAGAGTGTAGCTTTAGAACCAGAACCACAGAACCACCTATTCAGCAAACCCTAAGGCAACGCATGTTCAACTGCTTCATACTCTGTCAATGAATCACCAGCCATTAAGAAGGACCTGGAGGATTCATGGATTCTCATTAATTGGATCTAAAGCTAAGTTTAGACATCCATATTAAGTAAATACCATCCAGTTGAGTGGAACATCACGGCAATCCTCACAGCGGAGGAAGCCTCAAACCGGACTCATCCTAACGGGACTCATTGATTCCACCCGCAGAAAGGCACTTGTGCAGTTTTTGTGGTACAATACTCTGTCTGATATAGCAATTTTGTATAGCTGAGCTACACACATATATATATATATAATGATATAAATAGTCTATATGCATCTATAGTCTATATGCAATGAGACTCTATAAGTGTATATATATGCACAAATGTACTGTAAGTGTCTCCGCACGATGCACAAGCAGGTCCTCTTCGGTCAGATTCTTCTGGCCGGGAAGAACTTCTTTCGTGCAGGAGTTTCCGCCATAAAAGTTGCGGCAAAGGTAGAAGTTCTTGGCGATGGAGTAGTAGAATCCGTAGCCTCCAGCGTAGATGCCCCCTCTACATGTGATATGCACAAACACAACACTTAAATAGATTTGCTCAACATGGATTGTGAAAATGGGCATGCGGCTCATTGTAGAACTCTCTGGTCATGTGTCGTATTTTCAATTGTCAAAAGCCAATGTTTCTCATGAACTCTCACCAGCTCAACGCTCGAAAGGGCCCCACCCTTTGGCTCCGTTCCAGTCCTCCTTTTGGCTCCAGGTTCCTTCGACATGTCAATGGATTGGTTCCAACAAATGCCAAGACACCAATTCCAGCCCTCTTGGCTGCATCAACGAAACTCTTCCTCAAAAACATCCATGGAAGCTTTGGCGGGCGAAACTGCTACGGGTTGCGAAGTCCACGCTGTGAGGATTGGAAGACCAGTGGAGGAACTGCTATTGAAACCAAGCACATCTGAGTGTGGCTCAAAAATCAATGCGCCCAGTAAAGCATCAAAATGCCCAAAGACGTTCTTACAATATATTACAATGACCTTCTGTGGCGATAGTTTGAGCCAAACCCAAGAAATGTTCTCATCTTTCATCTAGCTTCAGCACATCCACTTGCACCTTGGCCCCAGGCATCCCCACATTGTACCCGTAGAGGCTTCCATCCGGCAGAGTCGCGTGGCTTGGCCAAAGCGCGAAGCCGCAGCCGTGCTTGGCTGTTAAAACAGCGATGTTCGCCCCTAGAGCCTTTCCCAGCAGTGAAGGGGATGTGTCAAGAAGAGGCTTTGAGCTTTTCTAGCCCTGGGCTCAGCAGTTCCACAATTTCAAGCCCTTCAGTAGCTAGCATTTGCAAGCGCTGTAATTAATATATATATATATAGAGAGAGACTATAGATCGAGACTATAATCTTAGTAAAGGCATACCCTAGAAGTTGCACAAATGGATTCATTGATCCTCGCCACACAAAAACAAACTACCAGGATACAGGAACCTGGAAGACTCCGTACCAAACAATAGGTTGCAATCCAAGAAGCCTGGATGCTCTCCATCCACTGTGTCGTATTCAATTTGGTGGGGTTGAAAGTTGCCTAAGGTGCCAAAGATGAAAGTAAGACTTTCAGGATGTCCAGAGCTGCAAGCCTGACCCAAAACCAGTCATAGTCGTTCAATTTTGCTACTACACACTACTACCTAAGTCCTCTGGCTGTCCCTGGTCAAACAGGTTTTGGCAGAATTCTGAAAGTTTTCTTTGGCACATGCGCTTACGTGTCACTGAATCCTGCCAGGAGGCCGGGTCCCTGGTCTTTCCCGCCGCATAGGGCGCCTTCACGTTCCAGTTGCTCTGGTCACAGCAGGGATCGCCATTGTGAGCAAAGGTCCCCATGTTGAAACTAATCAAAACGGCCTCAGGAGACAGCCAGGCACCTGCCAGGCAGGTGGCAAAGACCCGGGTCATGCGACAAATCTAAAAGGTTGCAAGGTCTAGTTGCTCAAGTCAAGTTGCTAGTCCCAAGCAATGGTGTCCCAAACACTCCGAAATGAACGTTCCGGGAATCTGAAATGAAGGGTGGGTTCACGAAGCAGTTGGAACCCTGAAAAATGGTGGTTGCTTCACAGGCCTTTGACGCAGTGACCCACCATGACCCTCTGTGCATGTTTAAACACAAAAGTGTTGAACCTTCCAAAAATTGACCTGTTGCTTTGCTTCCAACCATAAGTAACCTTGAGTGTGTTGGTTTGGATTCGAGGAATCAGACTATCAAATTGTCCTTCTTCATGAATCAGTAAGGTGCCAGCCCGGCTCATGCCGCCCTGCTACAAAGTCCGTTGACTGATAGCGCAGCTGCGCAGGCGAGGGGACTGGAAGATCTTTGGCAGCCTCCTGTCATGGAGCAGGAGTCCCAGATTGGTTGAACAAATCTTTACAGCCAGTCGTATGCGTCTACTTTGCCATAGAAAAACCAGCCTCATCCCCTCTTGAACATCTACCTTGATTGGACACCTAACCGTTTGCACCAGGACTTTATGTATAAAGTCCTTGGTGTCTGAGGCTCTGGTGGCTATTTTTTCTTGGGGTCTGAGGCTCCGAAATTTTCTGGAGCTAAGGTGTTTGGATGAGCCAAGTGCCTCATTTATTTACCTAAAATTCAAGGCTCACCAAAACAGTCACAAAATTGTCACCTTATAAAGTCCTTGAAGTCCTATACCTCGAACCACTCAAGATATCGGCGCGCTCCTTTTTCTTCTCAAGGATTTCATGGCACCGTACCGGGGAGCCACCGGAGGCATTGACCCCACCAAGCAAACCCACACGGTGTCATCTTTAGCCGTTTATATGGTTTACATTGTAACTAGTTGGCTCAAGGACATGACAAATGAAGATTTCGCACAGCGATGTGCAGTGTGGCATGCGACTCGCCTGAGGAAGCTCCTTAGGGTCAATCGCCTGTAAGAAGGAGCCAGCTTGTCAGAGTCCGGAGTCCTTGCAGTAAACGGCTGGATCATTCTAGAGAAGCCTCAGGCACCTTTTCCCTCAGACACTTCTGGCACTGGCACTGTATATTCCTTCCACCTGCCCCCCCAGAAAGATGGAAAAGGCATCAAAGAGAGCGTTTCTAAGTTCTACAAAAAGATTTGACGGCTGCTGGCCTTCCAAGTTTGCTTGCTCCAGGATTTTCAGTCGCTAGGCTAGGGGGGGCGGTATTGTCACGACGATCTTTTTGGATCGGAGCGGCAAACGGAGTCACATCTCGATGCCAAGCACAGGGAACAGTAGGCGAGTGGAGAGGGACCCGCTCACCGTCAACGGGCCCGGGCTCAACGGGCCCGACGTAGGACAGGGGGTATGGAAACACACGGAATCCATGGGTGTAGAGTTCCAGTCTAATACGAGAGTTTGACCAGGAAACATATTTCTACAGCGTGTACGGATCACTCCACGGAAACTAGGCGGCACGATGGATCTTGCGCCGTGTGCACTTTCTACCTTTCTTCATACGCAACCCACGTCAATCAGGAGATCAACATCGATCACCTGCGGCTCGCTTCCACAAATTTTACAAGCAAGGAATCAGGAAAACCTCTGGTCATCCGAGAATGTTTGTCTACGTAGATAAACAGCTCAGACACATGCAAAGGAACATGGCTGATAGCCCTCGCAAAGGTTACAGAAAAAGAATCAGGGACATATCTGGTCATTCGAGATATGTTCGTTCGGGAAGAGAATACTGCTGCTTGACCCGCTCATGTTTTTTTCGATGCGCATAAACATGTCGGAGACATGCAAAAGAGCATTGGGCTCAAATCAAAGCCCTCGCAACCAAACCATGATATCACACCCTGATACTGTATTAAGCCACAAACCCACGCGCGACATTTGACAAGCCAACAAAACACCCCTTAAAGCCACCAACGATCGTGCCAGGCTCCACCTAGCGCCCAAGCGGACTTTGGCGCAAGCTTCCAGGGAACAAGCTCTACATCTGCAAACAGAATCTGCTAACAAATTGGACAAACTAAATGTACGCAACAAGTGGACTGTGAGAAGGCACGTCTAAGGGATCAGCCATAGCCCGTGGTTTCTGTACACTGTCGCAACGAAGTTGGCGCTCCTCTACTCGGAGACATCTCCTCAGCAAGCATGAAACCCGAGCGATTGGCTGCTGGCAGGCTCAGATGGGCGGCTGGCAGGCTGAGACTTTTCAGGTCGAGGCTTGGGCTGCTTATGCATCTTGTCAGCGTCAGCCACCTCTGCCCCTGCTAGCGCAGCAGCCTTTGATTTCTGACCACTTGCTCCACCCTTCGCAGCTTTCTCGCGAATCTTTTGCATCAAGCTTGCGTAAGGTAAAGAGCACAATTGCATCAGCCGGTTGTGGAATTCCACCACCGCTCCCTGGTCCTCGCTCGACGGAAGGTCCAAAGTCACAAAAGGTTGACTCTTCCTCCCTGATTCATCTTCTCCTGAAACTGCTGCAGCCCGTGCTGCATCACTGCGCACCAATGCGCCAGACGCAGACTTGTTCGTGTATACTTCGAAGCACCTTCCTTTTTGACCTTGACGTGTCGATAACACGATGGCCAAAAAATCTTGGCTTCGCCGCGGGAGAGCGTCTTGAACATGATGACCTCAGCAGAGATTCATGTGTGTAGCGTAAAATGTAATGCAGCGCAATGCTCTGCCAGGCTTGTTACGTCGTATTCTCATTCGCTATCTTATGTATGTAACTATGCGTTTAAGCATGTCTATCTGTCTGTCTGTCTGTCTGTCTGACTTCCAAACCCCTGTTTCTTTGTAGACTTTACATTACTACGCGTCATCGCCACCTTGACACAACCTAGGTTCTTGGGGGGGAAAGTTCAGCGGGTGGCACAGTCGAGCAAAATCTGCCTCAAGTCCAGCATGTGCTTCGTCAGGATTTAAGTCGAGTGGTCAATTGTATTGCTATGTGAGAAGAGGCGCCCTGTCTGGATGAAGAACCGTGCCCACATCGGGATGTTGCACGCTCTCTCCATTTTCTCCATAGCCACAGGACAAAGCAGGGGCTTCCACGTCGGTAAGTTCCAAGACTTGATCCGTGCTCTGCACCACCTGCGAGGGAATGAAGGGTTCCACCTGACTCGGCATTGCCGCTGCCTGACAAGCAGCTTGTAAGCGCGCGCTGGCTGACACTGCCCTCTCCTCATCTGTCGAAAGTAGCCTCTTCTTTTTGGCCAGTCCAAATCTCAACTAATGAGTGCGACAGGACAACTTGTTCATGGCCTCTCAAAATACGCCGCTTTTCCACCATGAGTTCTTCGGAGGGATCCACATCGCCTGCAGCTATCTCAAACACAAGGTTTGCACAGGCTAGAACAGCGAGCTGCCAGGCTGCCGTTCCCAGTCACCCTGCAGCATGTGTCTGAGCCTCACACCTGCCAACTGCTGCCTGAACATTCCACCCAGCTTGAAATGCTGTGAACAAGCTCCGCGCCTCCTCTGACATCTGGATCACCCGGTGTGGCTTTTCGAAGTATGATATGACCTTGTGGGTCATGCTGCTCACATCTTGGTCGGGGCTCGCAGCAATGTTCCTGTCTGGGAACCGCAATTCTGCACGGTGCCAGGTGTGATGGGTTTCTTGAATGATCCTGAAACGCAAGCGTGTCTCTACCCCATCGCCCAAAATCACAACAAAGCCTTGGCAGCTTGGCAAAAAGCTTCCCTGCTCTGGGATTTCTCTCTCTGCGCCTTCCTCTTTGCTTTCCTCAAACATCTGCTTTGCATACTCGTACTGCAGACATTCTGGAACGAGTCCCAGAGGCTCGAACATGTTCTCTAAAAGCGGCACCCACATCCACTTGACTTCCAAGCCTGCTGGAAGTGGGCTATGAGGCTCAACGGGTTTCCCCGTGGTGTACAGGAACCTTTCAGCGCAAGCCACGTGGTGGCTCCCAGCCGCGTCGCTGAGGACATCAAAAAAAAGCCGATGGGTGAGCATTGCCCACCCCACAAAGAATTTATGTTCTATGACATACACTCCTCCTGGTTTTTCCAGGCCGCTTTGTGTTCTCTTTTCTTGAACATGTTTGGAGTGACTTCCTACATTATTCCAATTTCCAATGTTTATCTCCTATATGCTGATGCATCTGCCTTGATTTCAAGCCACCGGCGCAGCTTCTTCCACGCATGTCCACCAAATTGGCTCAAATAGACAGGACTCTATATTCATCATGTTAACACTATGTAGTCATTCCACTCTCTTTCATCTTCCACGCACCAACCCTTTCGGTCCTTGTCTGCTGCAAGGCCTGCCACAGCAGCTCAAAAAGAAACAAGCCGACGTAAATCCGAATCCATCTGCTGAGTAATTCACTTTCTACAAAAAAAACTTGTACTACCTTGTACACCTTCTACCTGGTACTACAAAAGACTCACTTCCTACCTTGTACTAAGATACCCTTGAACTGAAACAGCTGACGGGCCCTGACAGGCCAACGGGCCGACGGGCCCACGGGCCCGGACACAAAGGGGACCACACCCGGCGAGTGTGAGCCCGGAGGAGTGGAGTGGGTGCCACCTGGTATCTCTCCATGTTTGCAGAGTTAACTTGTTTGGCTGCTTGCACTGCTTATTCTTCTGTTCACTCGTCGTCACGCCACCCCTTTGCTTTGAGAAAAACGCAGCACCAGGAGACCTCAAGCACAGGTGAATCATGCCCAGACCTCCAGCACCAAGAAAAAATGTATATTTCCAGGGTGTTAATCATCTGTTTTCATGCTGACATTTTTTTCCTGGGTGTTGAGGTCTCCAGGCCTCGATACCAAACCTCAGCTCCTATATATATAACGCGTTTCAAGCACTAAGAAAAATAATCCGCTGAACATCGTGTATCTTGAGCTCTTGAGTGTTTGGACTATCAACACTAGTCACTGCATAGAGCCATGATTTGCAAGCTCACACAGTTTTGTGTGACTCTGACTGCGAACAAGTTCTGTGACTTCGAACTTCTAACTTGCGTCTGCAGCATGAGCAATGTAGTAATTCATGGTAACTCACTCGCCCGTGAGTCTGACGTAAGAAATCCCTTATATAAATTACAATAAATTCAATTATATAAGTACAGCAATTTTTTTCAAACATCATCCTCCCGTGTCTTCGGTCACTCCACTGCAGGACCTGCCAGGCCAAAGCCGTCCAAATGTGCAAGACCAGAGCCGTCCATATCGCGGGCGCAGCGTGAGCCGTGACACGAGCCATGGCAGCCCACAGCCCACGGTGCAAGCCCAGATTCTGCTGGTTCGGATCAATGGTCAAACCTTGAAAAAGAAGCACATTTAGTACTAGCATTGTACCAAGACATGAGCAAGGCTGGAGTGGGTTACGGTTTACGTTTTAAGGTGGGGAGAGCTCGCCAGAAGGCAACACTTTTTAGGGTGGCGATTCAGGTGGCTTATCAAGAAGTCCCCTCTCAGAAACAGCGGATAGGGTTTACACTGAGATGGGCAACCTGTTTTCGCCGAAGGATCGGCTGACATGACTCCACAAGAAGCATGTCGGAGCTTGGAAGACTGATGGTGGGAGTCCTGAGTGCCTTGCACAAGTATTGTGTATGGTAGGCTAACGGGGGAATTGACCTCACGGCGGACGGCAGCGAACAAGCATCGGGTCTTCACCCGGATTCACAAGCAGTAAGCTTGGATTTGCAATAGCAACAGTTGTATAATCATGGATACTATCCTGCAGTGAACACTCAGGGATCCAGTGTGGTCGGAATCCAAGTGCCAGCCTGCTTTCGTCCAAACCACCACAAATGTAGAGCCGCTGGTTGATGACGCCTGGCACAAGTGGGATGGACGCGGAGAATCAAAGCATACATGGGCTTTTACAAGCCTGTTAGACCCCAAATTGAGCGAAGTAGTTTGATCTGTTTGGTCTTGGAGGTGCACAAACAACTGCATCAGTCTTCAACCTCTTCCCAATTGGAATAATGCTGGAACGCTCACACGAGGAAACTAGCAGAACAAAAGGGTTGCTCCGCAGTGAGAACATCTTCCTTGACATTGAGAGGCGAACGACAGCGCAGTGTGTTTAGTCTTTTCAGTGCTGCTCGGTGAAACGATCTCGGTAGGGCCAAGACAGCTGGACCTCAGTGCACGCGGACAACGCGCTTTTCAGGACGGTCGCGTTTTTGGGTGCGAGCAGGCGCCAGCAGGGAAAATGCGTTGCAGGTCAGTTCTGTAGTTAAAGGCTCCAGTCTAAATCATCCAACACTTGTATGATCTATTTGACTCTGCCTCCGTATTGACCAGCAAACGGTTTGAACTTGTGAATGGTAGGCGTTCAAACAACATTTCACTGTTGACAGCCGGAACCTGCAACGTGCCTGGCAACAGTTAAAAGGAACGGTCCTTCACTTACTTCTGGTAGCCACAAACAAAAGACGTGGTCACATGTGGTCACCATACAAACCACAACAACAACGACAACCGACTACCCCAAAAATGACTACCCAAAGGTGCTGGTGAACTCCTTCCTTATCCGTCCGGACCAAGGTGCCGGAGGCTCCGTTTCTTCCTCCGTGACCCCAAAGGGGTTCGGCTCGGCCACCACCTGAAGCGAAGCGAGGGAGGTGATGACATCCCACCGGCCGCAAGGAGCATTCGCCTACTACTTGCTTAATCAATCTTAATGAATCTTCATCCGAATCATGCGCTAATAATGAGATTCATGAGATTCATGCCGCGATTCATGGCGAGATATGGCCAATATGTAGCTGTGATGCTTGATTCCGGTGCAATATCATGTCGGACGATTGGATAATTTCTGCGTTCGGCTTGTGGCTGTCAAAAGCCTCCCTTGTTTGGCGAAACGGCTTCCAGATCTTTCATGCTCCCTGTCTACTGTCTAAACCGCTAGGAATTCAGCTGAGCAGTCCCATCACTTCGTCATCCCCCCTGCACCTTGTAGAAGGCGATCAGGAGGCTCTGTACTCGCTCCTGCATGGTCCAAGAGGCCAACCGGAAGGTTTGGCAAGTTTACTAGTAGCGTCCTTTGCTCCTAGTAGCGATACCAGGAGCCACTAGTAGCTTCTTGCTCCTAGTAGTAAGGCCAGCCTTGCTCCTAGTAGCTTCTTGAACCCTCATTGGACAGCTGCGAAGTTCTTAAAGCAATTCTGCGCGCAGGTTTTTGTTATTGACTCATGGTCGAGTCCAGTCAAACATCTCACACTGGTGCAAGTACCACTGGTCGAGTATGATCGAATCACCATGCACAGCAGCAGCTTGGGCGCCAGTGTCCTTGCGGCTTCTCTCCATGACATGTTGAAGTGCCACAGATCTTTCCTTGGTGAAATTTGTGCGACACAAACTCACTGTGGCACCTGTCTGTGGCACTCAAACCATGACCAGAATGGAACATGGCCCCGCAGGAACACTCCGTCACAACCGTTCCACACATATACGCACCGCCATGAATACCAAAAATACACCGTCTTGTACCTGATAAAGAAATTACGTACTGTACTGCGCAGTACATGTGTTTTGTCCAAATCACTACCTATATGCCTGGTACAAACCCGAGCATAAATACATATCAACAACCATCAACTGTGCTTTCCCCGCTGAAAACCGCCACAGAGCGAATACAGTATTTGATCCTTCTACTCACTCCCCTCCTCTTCTTGCCCAAGGCACCAGCTTGGCGATGATGCCATGAACTTTTTTCATCAGCACTTGATCACGCAGTTCCCATTCCTGCCGGCTTCCGGAATCGTTGGATTCGCCCAGTTGGGATCTGTCAGAATCTGTGATCTTCTGGAAGGATATCAACATATAACATATATATATACATATATGTATATATATATATATCAACGATGCAGCTGATAGATGCAACATGATGCAACCAACATCAAGCAACTATATCTAGGGGATGCTGCAAGCCACAATATCAATAGCTGCATGGTCATAGTCAACATCTCAATCATGTATCTCCTGCGCTCTCTGGAGCCACACAGCTCTCTGTCTCTGCGTCTGACAGAACTTCACGGGTTTGCCCTTACGTAACATTTTTCGTCAGACTGCATCACAAAAAGGATCAAACAGAATCAAACAGGCTTGTTCTTCTTCTTCTTCTTCTACTTATTCTTAATCTTTCACACCTTATTGTGGTTCAACTTGTGATTCAACTTGTCAAATCTCTTAACCAACGATGATTCCATTTCACGAGTCTTGCTTGTGCCCCACACTGGCTCTCTGCTGCGACTTAAAGCCCGCCGTTTTCAGGTGTCCTGCTGAGCTTGAAGCCGCTCATCTTCCGCAGCAGCTAGTGCATGCCCAGCACTTTGAGCCAGGCCTTTGGCACGATAACACTCGAACCTTGGGGCCGATGGTTTCATCGCCGAACAAGGTCGCCGAAGCGACCGATCGGTCGGCCGGGTCGATGTCGGTCGGGGTGCGGGAGAAGTCCAACTCTGGGATGGAAAGAGAAGTCCACAAGAATGCCCAAAACATGCGAACACGTGGTGCTGTTGTCGAACGTGGTCATGCAGCCATGCACCTTCAAGTGATACCAGGCGCACAAACTTCTTTTGTGCCCCTGATCTTGGTAGCTTGGTCAAGCTACTGGGGTACAGTGTGACATAGCCTGACCAAAGAGTCAGAAAAAATGGCATGCGGAAAAGCCTGAGGTTTTCTGTCTGACTGGGACGGAACTTGAGAAGACTGTGATACTAGCATGGATGCTTGATGGTGCTGGGTCGTTGATCCCCCTTCATTCTCAGAACGGACACTATTGGAATGACAGAACAATGATGGTCACGAGAGCTTGCAAGATGGCGAAACTCGCTGACGACTACGATGAGGGGTCCAAACACACCAAGGTGGCACTCAGAACTGCGAAGGAATCAAAAAGCTGAAGCATCTCGAAGCCAAAGGGCTCAGCATTCTTCACTTCAGTCCTTTTCAAAGCATTCCTTGGCTCTGACCAAGGTGGCAGATTGACATGTTGTCAACCCCGAAATCTTTCACCATGCCCATGCCCCATTGAAATCGACCAAACTAGCACCTCGTCCCACAAAGTGTTGCGAAACCTGTCGATGCTGCGCTCCTATCAAGCAGCTAAACCTACAACCTACTAGCAGCCTCAGTAAGGTAAAGGAGGTAAGTTTGGTATCTGACAAAACCACCCCCTCCCCGCTCATCGCGACTCTCGCTTTGCAATTGCTCTGCCATGACTCTCACCAGCGACCAGCTTCAGGCGCGCGTGCAGCAGGCCAAGCTCGCGTTGAAGATCACCTGAATGCGTGTCGAACATCCCACCAGACTGTAGCTGTTTAGCACCCACCCTGACGATTCTGGGGTCCAACTGTAGCTGTTTAGCATGGGCCAACGCGGCATGCTTCATGGCTACCCAATTTATTTCTTTTAGCATCCATGAGTGCTGGGGTGCTTTTGCAAAAAAAAACTGTTGACTCAAATGGTGGTCCCAACATGTCCAACCGCCGTCACCACACAGCTTTGGTTCGTTCTGACGGGAAGGATACCAAACTTGAGGCCGAGGGTAGGTGACGAAAGCTAGCAGGGGTGCATCCGGACTGGTGGGACATCAAGCGGAGTGAGGCAAATGCTCATGAGGTAAAACGTTGTGAACATGTAAGACACACAAACAGCAATGACACAGCCAACCTTAGAATTGAAGTCCCCGATAATTAAGGAAGCGTGGCTGGACTTTGCCACACTGTTCGATGCATCCGATGTGTTCACGAACCTGTGAGCTTGTTGAATCTGTTGCACCGTATCCCAAAACCTCCACAGAGGAGTTGAACCAGTGTGGATGCCAAAGAGGTGCCCAAGAGGTGTCCCAGAGGCAAAACAAAGCTGCTTGCATGATTTGTTTGGTTTCTTCTATCGATGTCGATGTCATGAACATGTGAGCTTGTTGAATCTGTTGCACCGTATCCCGGAGGAGTTAAGCCAAAGTGGATGCCATAAGAGATGCCCGAGAGGTGTCCCAGAAAGCAAGGACAACTCCAGCTAGCTGGTGCTAGCTTTCGTGATTATGTATGTCTTTGCTTGAATGTTGAAACACTGTGAGATGACTGGCATGTGATCCTTCTAAACTGCAAAGCGGCCATCTTGCTTCTCTCCTTGTTTCTGGAGCTCTTCAATGTGTGACTGGCACAGTCGCCGACCTTGTCGGTTAACAATTCGATGAAATGATCGTGCAAGATCTTGCAATCACAGTGGGCTTCGTCGGGGCTCGAATGAGGCCTGGAAAGCTTCTAGAACTTCTAGGTGATAGCAAGCTGAAAGAATGGAACTTGAACGGAGCAATGCCACCTCCCAAAGTGACATGCCTATCCCAAGAATAGAAAAGAGGTGAGGAAAGTCTTCCAACAGGCCATAAAAGTTCTCTGAAGTTAATCTCAGGCGCTTTGTTCCACGGCTGCCGCCTCATCTCTAAGCTTTTGCAAAGCATCTTT